CCTGCCCCAGAGGTGACCACATGGCGTGGCAGACCTCTCCTGACCTGCCCGCTGCTCCCCTCAGCAGTGTACTTCGTCGATCTGCCTGTTCTGCTCTCCACTGTCTCTGGTGAAGCCTCTCGCCACCCCTCAGCCTCTGGCCTGTACCCCAGTTCTGTATGTACAAATAAATAAATCTTTTAAAAAAATAAATAAATAAATTGTGAATTGTCAAGGCATTAAATATATCTCTTTGTAGGCAGATGTATGCATGGTAATAATTTAATAACTAACATTTCCTAAATTTCTGAAAGTGTCAGAAACAAAGTGTGTCTTTTTATTAAGTGACAATTAAATTTTTATAATGTTTTGCTATTTTAGCCTTAATTTATTTATTTCAATAAATAAAATATAAAATGATTAGGCAACCTTAAATTTTTTCTAATATTTTAGTTTTAATAGCCTTAGTCCATGCAATTCACTCTAATAAAAAATATTTATTAACTTAGGACACAGTGTTTTGAATTTAGGCAGAACTTAAGTAATGTGTCATAAAAGGATACATTCTAAGAACAAAATATTTTAGTAACCTGAAGCATTAAAAGGAAAAAAATAACCACATTGAATGATACACAAATGGGCATAGAATGTTTTCTTTTAATCTTGACTAGCTTTGAACACAAGCAAGTACTGATAATCTAAAAGTCATAGCAGGTTAGTTGAAACTATGGAAAAATCCTCCAATTTGTGGTCAATGTCAGCTTATTTAAAATTAGAAAGTATGCTCTATTAGTTAAAAAAAAAATCCTCAGTATTAGCTAGCAGTAGAATAGTAAAACTGAATAATTTCATTCTCTTTACTCAGAGAAAATAATTTCTTGGAAGCTAAATATTAATTAAAACTGAGATAATTATTATTAAATAATTAACATTATATTTAGTGAAATGTTTATTGTTATTTAGACTCACTAGAAGATCAACTCCATGAGGACATAAACTTGTCTTGTTCCCAGCTGCATTGGTGACTTAAAGAACAAAGAGTAACAAGGTTCTAAAATTGTTACTGAACAGAATGATGAGTGAATCAATGTGATGGCTTCTGGAACCATAGGGAAAATTTTCATGATTCAATGTTATATAAAATAATAGTGTATCTTACCTATTTATTATGGTCATACTATAATGGTAAAACATTTACAGAGAAATATTCCAAGTTATTAACAATTACTTGCTTAAAGGAAAAGGACACAATGTTATTTCTCTCTCCCACTCAAGTATACCTACATTTTCAAAATTTCCCTCAGTGAACACAGATCATTTTTTTTTTTTACAATTTGAGCAAAATTTATTGAATACTAATTTTAGTCTCTCTTTTTTTATTACAAAAGTTTATTTTTACATCATTTTGTACATTTTTTTTTCCATCTCGACTGTAATCCCCGCGGGTTTCCCATCACCAAATCACCCGAACACAGATCATTTTTATAATAAAAAAAAATTAAGCATCCTTTATTATTTGTAAATAACCAAAAATAGGAAGGTTTTGACTAATGACTGACAAACAAGGGCAGTTTAGTGATGTGGTTAATATAAAATAAAAATATTAATGGGCTCACAGGAAATATCAGTGTGCCTATATGAGTTGCTGTAGACAAGAGAAATCTTGAAAACACAATTTTCTAGATTTGAATCTTGCTTCTGACTCTGGTTGGCCGGGCTAGTGTGAGGACCCATCGGCTCTGTGTTTCAGGTATTCAAATACTACTTCATTTTCTTTATCCTTTAAACAGAGGTAACATTAGTAATTGAGAGGGTTACCAAAATTGGTACTTATAAAAATACTTAGAGCAGTGCCTGAAACAAGTTATACTCTTACTCTCATTATAAGAGTATAAGGAACCACAGTAAAATAGACATGTGTATTTCCTTTTTGTATTCTAACTTTATCCTACTCCTTTCCTGTCTAAGGGAACCATTTTTACTCCGTTTTTTTTTCTTTTTTTTCTCAGTTCTGTGTCAGGTCTGGGGAAGCACAAATATATGTTTGGTGTATGGCTTTTGAGACTGTCTTCTGCTAGCAATGTACTTTTGACTCCCTGAAGCTCCTCAAAGGACTACTTTCCCCAAATTGGCACATACAATTAGACTGAAGGTGTTGTGAGAAGATTTGTTGACTTTGCTCTATATAGATTTTGTTGTATGTGAGATTACCTCAAAAATAACTACTGAGAAAAAAATTTCAGGTATATTTGGTACACGAGTTAAAATACACAGAAAAACAGGTTATTGTTCAAGCACATTTCCCATAATATAAATGCTGTTTTTCCTAATAAGGTGTATAACTTGTCTAACAAATTTCCCTTTTGGGGAGTTAGCAAAATTCCCTTTTGGGGATTCCTGGAACTAAGAGACACTGAACACCACCTCCAACATGTAGTACATCAAAATCTGAGATCGTATGAGAGTCCACAAATTCAACTAATTAAATGTGATAGTTTTCTAGCCCCAAAAGAGGGAAAAGGTATTGGTCTTCATTAGGTCTTTTCCGTCCTAGGCACCAAAGACTGTTCTCTAGTGAAAATTCTTGCTCTTTCAGCAGATGTAACAATAAACTTTTTAATTAAAAAAAAAAAAAATACCTTTGTGAGAACAGCATTTTATATTTTAATTTTATGATTTAAATATATTATCATTAAGAAATAGGGTGTAGTCAGTAAGATTTTAGTTCTTCTTGCCAAAAATCAAATGCAATGTAGTAAAGAAAGACAAACCTTGATTTTTTTTCTTTCATTAGAATAAATAATGCGCTTATTTGTTTATTTTTCTTCATTGAAGTAATGCAGTTAGTCCAAATCCACCAGACGAGGAGCTTTGCCTCCTGTGTCTTTTCTGAGGCTCTGTCCAGCACACCTCATTATGAAACCACTCAGCTCCCAGATTCCCAGTAAAGCAGTCACAATGTTTCAGACACAAGCTAAACACTTACCTTTCTTGCATGGGTGGAAGTTGTATCCAGCTATTAAATCGGGGATCATATCGGCTGACAAAATTTGTACTGTGTTTTCCTGTGAAAAGATATTTGAAAGACTCAAAACTTAAGTCTTTTCTGTTTGAAAATTTAGCAGTTCTTTTTAAAATGTCTCTGTTCTGAAGGGTTAGCAAATAAGAATTCAGTAGAATGACTATCTCACATGGTGTGAGAAGTAGTAAGTCATTGGAAGAATAAATGTATTTTCAAATGTATTTCTTTTTTCCCCTCTGTTCCTTTCTGCTTTTTTAGGAAAGTGAGTTATAATAAAAATAAATTGACCATAATAATAGCAATTAGTTGTTAATCAAACCAGCTTTATCACAAAATTGGGTAAACCTTTTTGAGGTTTGATGTTATGTTTTAGAAACCTGAAATTATTACTGATACATAATCAGATCTTGAGACTACCTTATAAGACATCTCTTTTTAAAGTCTTTTCTTTTTCTTTTTAATGATCCAAAAACTCTAGCAGTGGTGGAGTTTACTATCATCTCATAGAAATGACACAACCACTACAATAAGTTTGCATGAGAAACTTAATTTTAGTCTATGCATATTGTATAAGTTCTGCACATGCATTTGGTATAAGCACAGTTGCTGTTATATATGACAAATACATTTGCTGAAATATGAGTCATGTTAGCTGGTTAACCAGGTTATCCCCTCTGTTAAGGCTGTGAAGCATAGCAATGCCTCCCTCCAAGGTACTAAAATGATCTAATTTTCCATATAGATTGACACCAAAGCAAAAAATGGAAGCAAAAGAGTGTGGTCCATTTTCTAGATAGCACCTGGGATGACAATAATGTTTTTTTGTTTTTGATACAGCACATGAGGCTTTGACTCTAAAAAGGCTGCTTTTGTTCATACATGTGTCATTAAACATAAAGGTACGAACCTTCACCACCTTGATGTATGTGTGTGGGAACATGTGCTCACACAGGCACACAGAGACAATATTATTATTAATCATACAATATATGTGGAGCACATATTCTATGTCTTATGTGTTCTAGGTTCTGAGGATATATTGGTAAACAAGAAAGTTTCTGTCCTGATAAATGAATAAACTGGTATATGTTATTAAGTGAAGATGAATGCTACAAGGAAAAATGAGGCGGGTATTAGTAGAGGGAGCCAGTTTAAGTAGGGCGGTCACTTGCTCACAGATGTCTTCTCAAGTCACGCAGGCCTCTGCTGACTTGGTGAGCCCATGGTGTGTGGAATGTTGCCCTAGCTGGCAACGAGTTTCAAGCTAGCAAGAATGCTGGGGTGACTTAGACAGAACTCAGAGGGGTGTGAAGGTCTAGGGGTGGGCCAGTGTAGGATTGTGTATCTGATGTTAGAACAATAGGAAGACACTGGCAGGTTTTGAGAAATGAAGAGAGTGGTGTAATTTAGCCCCAACAAAGATCACACTGGTGCTGTTTATAGACTCTAAGGGCGGGAGAATTGGCTCCAGAATTTTCTGATAGCATGAGAAAAAGGAATTAATTAAGGAAGGTGGCCCGATTTTTAGCTTCCGTTAACTAGGTAAAAGGTTTTGCAATTTGCTGAGGTAGGGAAGACTAGGTGGAAGTAGTATGGGAGTTAGGGAGAAACCTTAACAATTCTGTTTGGATTAAGCTCAGAAGCCTACAAGTTCTCAAAGTGAAAGTGTCTGGCAGTCCACAGGCTAAAGGAGGCTTCAAATACACATTATGGAATAACTGGCCCAGACAGAATACTTAAAATCATCAAGTAGGATGTCCCCCTGTTGGGGGGGGAGCGTGCAAATGGAAAATAATGTGTCATGGGAATGGCTCCAGTGTAGATAAGGAAAAGGTAGGAAAGGAATTGTTAGAGATGAAGATGGAAAGGTATTTTGGAAGTCCTATCAAATAGTTTCAAAAGGAGTGCAGCTGAGAATGATCAGAAGAGTTAGCAACCTGACATGCATTGCTTCACTGGACAGGTGGGGATGAAAGCCTGGGCTGGGGTGGGGGTGGGGGATGGGGCAGGGTCTCCTTTGGAGCAACTTGGTGTGTAAGAGCAGAGGCTAGGGGATAGTCAATGATTCTTAGAACTTCTGCCATTAAAGGAGTAGAGCTGAAGAGTGCATTATTCTCAAATTCTTTTGGGAATTAATCTTAGAAGTTATCAACAATGATGCTATATTTCTACAAGTAAATAAATGTGAAAGAATTCAGCTAGCTACAAACCAATTCTAGACATAATCTTGCCTTGAGTTGGAGTCTTCCTTGATGAAATCACAGTATTTGGGGTAGTCTCACTCCTGGCATTCTTAACTTTCTATATATCCCCAAATAAAACATTATTAACTATTCTGACCACATAAATCCTCCTACGTGATCCCTGGAACTTAGGATCTCACAGCAATGCAACCCCTTTAATCCTTGTATTCTCCTCTGAGTGGAGGAGAATACAACCACTGACCTCTGAGCCTAGCCTCCTCGCTGCCCACTCTAATGAGGCCTAGGTCACTCCCAGCTCCACCCACATTGTTCCTATTACTGGAGGTGAGTGGCACTTCTAATTCTTCTTCATTGCCACTCCTATATCCTTAGAAACCACTATTTAAAAATAGGTCTTCAGATTATTCTCCCTGTTCTCTTACAATACAGCCTCCTCTACTTGACCTTATGGCTTTCCACCTTTTTCATTTCTTTCTGACTCTCCCTCCACTTCTGCATTTTTTTGTGATGATGCCCTTTCACCAGACACCATTCTTGACCATCACTCGGGTGATGTATGGAATGGAAAAAGGGTGAAGTTTTCAGTCAGTGGTAGAGGAGAAAGAAGTAGAGAGGAAAGGAAGCCCCCCTCTCCCACACTTCTACCTCCATTACCATGGCAGTTATTCTGGGAGCCAATCATTAGTAAGTGACAAAATGTAAATTGGTTCTCTGTAAATTGGGGCACTGACAGGTCTTGCATATGTATCACTAGAATATTATGATGCATTCCTCTCATTAATGATGTGAGAGGAGTTAACAGGAGTTAGTATCTACATTTAAGTAAAAATTAATATATGTATCCTGCTTATATTTCCAATAGCTAACATATTTACTGATTTCAAAATTTGGTCTTAATAATCAAGATTATCATTTGTGTTATATGAACTATATTGAAGTGCACAATGTTTCATTTCATTCAGGGACATGCATTCTCAGACATCAGATTTCATCTTTGAAACTGACACATACAAAACATTCGAACCCAACAAGTTTTAATTTTGTCTCTCTCCCACCAGTGACATATTAATGCCACATATTAATGTAGGATTGTTAATATTTATAAATTTTGGTCTTGCTTTCCTTCTAATTGCATGATATAAAAGGAAAATCCAATGTGTTTGAGGAGATGAATCCCTTCATGATATTCTAAATAGGGAATGATAGAGTTCTTTGTGAGCCAGCAAGAACCACTTTCTATTATAATACTAATTTAACTTCACAAGGTCAGTGGCAAAAAAAAAAAAAGGTGGTTGTTTAATATCAAACCAGATGCTACTGTTTATGTGAGTATATGAGGGAACAGTGTAGTACAGTGGTTAAAGACTAGGGCGTTAGAGTCATAAGGACTAGGATGAAATCAGTCCTGGCCAGTTATTTAACCTCTTCAGGCTTAGCATCCTACCAAAACAAGAGCAATCATAGAGCAAGCCTCATGGTATGGTTGTGAGGATTGAAAGAAACGAGGCAGGTGAGTGCTTAGCAAAATTGCTGGCAAAGAGTCAGCACCCAGCAAATATTCGTACTAATAGTAAATAAGTCAACACTGACTGATGAGACGGCAGGTAACTGAAGCTACTTGGAAAATGCCGGAAGGATGTGGTGTGTGGCTCCCAAACCCTTGCCTTTGTGAGTGTTGGTTGTTCATGGTCTCAGGGGCCCCTCTGTGGGGAAGTGTCCTTCCCAGCAAATGTCCCCTCACTATAGCCCTGGTCCCCCTAGCACAAGGATGATAGACCCATTGGCTTGGGAGTACAAGGCTGGCTTCCTTGCCTTGTGGAGTAGCCAGTTTCTCTCTGTTTGGAGACTCATTGCTCCACATCTATACGAAATGACTTCACCTGCCCAACAAGTCAGGGACAGAGCGACAGCCTTGCAGAAGGCACTCCCAAAGTTTTCAAAAGGGATCTACCAGAAAAGAGGCCCACACTGCGACAGAATATACAATTGAAATACAGGGACTGAAGTTTTGCAGAATTTGTTTGGACTTCCTAGCAGCTAAAGCAAAGAGGTAATACATACTGCATCACAGGGTTACATTCTACATCACTGTCCCTGCAGCACACAGTGGCCTTCAGCTCTCCACCTTCACATGGAGCCGTGAGCTCTGCCTGTGGAGGGTGGTGCCACAGAGTGTGACGCGGTGATTCCTGCAGTCTTTGTTCATAGCATATTTGTTGAGGGCTTGAAAGTGAATTGCTTTTCCTCTCAGCAGTGGGAGAAGCAAATCAGTGAAATTCAGAAGCATAGTTATGGAAGCCTTGATTTTTTTTTAGAGAGGAAGAAGCCCACCCCCATCTCTTAGCTGTGGGTTAGACAGGGGCTGAAGTTGGCTGTTACAGGTTATTTTAGGAGGCCAAAAAGCTCCAGAGCAAGTTTTCTATGCTGCTGATTAAGTTCTGCTCATGGGAGTGGGAGATTCATAGTATGCGAAGTTGAGTTGTTGCACTAAAATTGGTATTTTAATAGAGGCCTATTCGCCTGGGCAGAGGGGTGGGCTGAGAGAGCGCGGTCATTAGAAATAGGACTTTCCAGCAGGTATTGTGTGTGTGTGTGTGTGAGGTATTAACTTTAATCCGGCTGTCAAAAAGAATGTTCTTCAAATTATTCGCTTGGCCAAACCTGAGGTCTGTGCACCATGTTTATTTACGAATGCCCCATTCACTTCAAACCATTCTGGAGACAGAATAAGTGCAATAGTAAGTGGGAGCGGCGGAGGGGCGGGGTTACAGGAGATTGTATATATGCAGGGTTTTTTTTTTTTTTTTAACACGTGGCATACATCTTTGCAAAGATAAATTAGAGGAGAGAAAAGACCATTTTCACCCCTGTTCCAAATCTGTTTCTCACAAAATCCAGGACTGTCTCTTTTCCAAAGCTGAAAGAGAGGAAGCAACATAACTGCAGCTCTTGAGAAAAAATGTCCCCTCTCTTCAAGGAAATGTTCTTTCAGGGTGGCCTGGGTTGTTTTCCTGTAGGATTTTCTAGAGTGAACAGATGTAACAATTTTCTATAATTTGCCTTGGTACAGATGCTGAAAGAGAGCATTCACAATAAAATATATGCCGTATATGTAATTTCAGCTGGATGTTCTGGGGTTTTAAAGTAAAAATGTGTACCTGCAAGCTGTTTTATGGTTTCTCAGTCCTAATGATCTCTGTTACACAGAAGGTTACAACTGTAACTCCTCCTTCATGTGCAAGCCTTCCAAAAATATCTTGATAATTCTGCATGTTCTTCAAGGCACCCTGCTCTCCCTGTGCTTGGGTGGGACCAGTATTAAAACCTGTAACTTCTCTTTGCAATGAATTCATGGTGTAATCACATCCACCGGTCTGTGATGGACAATCTGTCGAAGGAGCCTTTGCAAAAGGCATAGCAACTGGAGTAGGTCTCCAATAATAAATGCTGCAGAAGAACTCCAGGAAAGGTTAGGGGTAGCATGACGGCAGCTAATGCTTATTTATTGAAACTTCATTATTAGACTGATAAAATGGGAGAAAAGTGATGGAGAAGGTGGTGAGAATTCTTAATAGCTGCAGCTTGCTACCTGCCTCTGGGGAGTCTGTACTTATGCTTGTGGCATTCCTCAGGGGATGGATAAGGAGAGGGCTGGGGCGGCACTGTGAATTCAAATCCCCAGACAGTCAATGAGTGAACGCTCTGCTGCCTACGTCCTCTGCAAGCTCGTGATTGACCCTCCTCCAATTGTCAGCCCAATTCGCCGACTACTTTATTGTCCCTGCTGCACAGAAATATATTCTCACAGTAATTACAAAATGGACGGCTGCCGGCACCTTGCACGACACACACACTTGTTGCGCACCTACTGTCAAGTTGTTCAATAGTTACCATTTGGGTTCCACTGGTCCTCTCCACCCAACACGAACAGGAAGTTTTCCACCTCCACCACGCAGTGATGGGCACTGTTGTATGGCATAACTGGAAAGATTAAAAAAAAAAGGATGTATGCAATTTTCCATCTTAGGACTTGATCCCTTGGCTTACTTGCTAGTTGCTTTCACCAAAGTGTTATGAAATGAGAGACAAGTCAGAAGGAAGAGAAGCACGCAGGCGGCAGAGCGGGCGCAGGTCTATCCACAGAGGTGCAGGCTGCGTGCTCACAGCCACTTCAGTCCCAGCCCCTTTCGATGAATTTTACATAATGTTATTCCACAAATTAGTCAAGAACAACCTGTCATGCTGCTTTTGATGCTCAAGTTCTCCTCACCTGCCTGGTGACGAAGATCACGTTCTAAAACAATGAGTGACACCCCCAAATGGTCAAGGCTGGGGGGTTACTCCTTGGAAGAAATAACCCTGCCTACTCTTGGAGCCACGAGCATGCTCTGCCTCAACTTGGTTTGCTGGCAATCTTTCCAAAAACAGACTCGGAGTGCTTGGTAGCTTTCTATTCCACAGCAATGAGCAAGCTGAATTTCCATACAGTTTCAAGTTTTTAAATTAAGGTCCTGCTGATTTAATGCCTTCTCCAAATGTATACGCTTAATTTCCTGTACAATGTCATTAGCAGCACAATCACACATTTTCTATCTATCTGCTTAGGAGCTCTTGTGTAACGAAGATTAAAAACTGTCAGGAACATCACAAACATCCACTCCCCTCGTCTCACCCTTCTCCCGGCCCCAATGTGGTGGCAGAGAGAGGGACTGTGATTTAGAAACCCACTAATGCCAGCGTTCTCTACCTGTGTTCCTCATTTGCATTTTCTTTTGGGGGACACACGGCCAGAACAGGACCCCCTGTCATCCCGTGGGCAGTGCAATGTCAGTCGCTGTTGTAATATCATATGGTAAATGTAAACTTCCACAGCATTCGTTATCCTAACACCTGCAGTGGTTTGGACCCAGTGACACCAGTAGGAAAAATGATGTCCTTGTTCAGCTCATCATATGGGCACCTTAAATCTAGGTGAGGACAAAGGGGAGGTGATGTGCATGTGCAGGCAGGGAACTTATTGCTTGCCACGGATCAACAGAGCACTTAAGAAACCAGTGCACTGGGAAATCAATATGAGTCAGGGCCAGCTCTTGCACTCTGTGGTCTTGTGCCAATGCTGGGGGAGAAAGAGTGAGACAAGGGAAAAGGGAGGGGAGAGAAAAAGAGAGAGAACATGTAGCCAATACCTGGTAATTTCGGATGATATACATCTCTCATTTAATTTTGTTTTTATTATCTTTAATTTTCCACAGAATGTACTTATCTGGCTAAGACATACAAATAAAAATATAAACAGGCACACCTTTGAAATCTGTAACAGCTTCTGAAAAAAAGGAAATCAGATAAAATCAGAACTTACAAAAGGATTTTAGGAGTCCTGACTATTTTAGTCGTCACTTATTTTTGTCATGATAGTCATTGTTTTAGGAGGACTATAAACTACAATTCATACCATACAGATTTAAACTATTTAAGATACAATGTCAAACTAAATTATGTGTATACTTATTTATATGCTTCTGTCTATGTCTTACAGACAGAATGGTTCAGGTTGCCCAGAGAAAATTGAAGAGAGTGATCCAGACTTTTTCTGTGTACGCTGGGTTACTCCTTTCTCAGATCTGTGCATCATGGAGTTTCCTCTGTCCTGTGTCCTCTTCTAACTATTTCATTGTTGCTCTTTAAGCACTGTCTCCTGGTTTTAAATATCTTTATGTTGCTGGTGCCCCAATTTCTTTGCAGGCTGGCAAATGATATTCATTGTTTTTGAACTTATACCCACAAGGGAGAAGGCATTGGTATGTAAACCCCTGATTTGGGGGATAATGTAGAAATTGGCTGTGCAGTAGATTTGTGTGGTCCATCAGTTAGGTTAATTGACTAAGGGAGTCATCTTGGAAATGTTCTTTTGCCCCTCAACACTCGGTTATTTATTTATTTATTTATTTGGAAAAATGTTGTTAACCATATAGATCCTGTGTCAGTTTTCAGAGTCTACTGGGGCAAAGTAAATGTTGGATTCACTGAGCATCTAAGAATGCAGTCATCTTATTATTGTTATTTTTTATTTTTAAAGATTTATTTATGTATGCATACAGAATTGGGGTACAGACCAGAGGTGCAGGGGTGGTGAAAGGCTTAACTAGAGGCAGAGTGGGGAGCAGAACAGGCTGACTGAGGAAGCACACTGCTGAGGGGAGCAGCCGCGAGGCAGGAGAGGTCTGCTGCGCCACCTGGGTCAGCTCTGGGGCCGGGGATAGAACTCGCACTGAAGCGACTGCGGCCAGCTTGCAGTGCTGTGCCCTAACCTATGAAGTCATCAGGGAGAGCCATCTTATTATTTATAAAGAACTCGTCATTGTTTGGATCATAATGATGGCTCCAAAATCCCAAAACCAAAACCATGCCATCCGTGCATTGCGTATATAGTGATCATCTTTGCGGCATCGGTTCAGAGTAACTCAGCACTGTGGTTTTCTGCATGCAAATACTGATGTAACTGTAAACCACTTAACTTGATGCCGCTCTTCCAATAATCGTTTTGAATTTTTGTCTGTTTCATCCCCAAATCTTCTAAATAGTTAAACATTATACTATCTTCTTTTTTTTTTTTTTTAAGATTTATTTATTTATGCATACAGAACTAGGGTACAGGCCATAGGTACTGGGGTGATGAGAGAATTCACCAAGAAAGAGCAGGGAGCAGAACATGTAGACCAATGAAGTACACTGCTGAGGGGGGCAGTGGGAGGGTCAGGAGAGGTCTGCCATGCCACATGGGTCACCTCCTGGGCAGGCGGGGATCTAATTCATGAGGAAGTGGCTTTAGCTTTTTAGTGCTGTGCTTTAACCCGCTGCACCACCAGGGAGGGCCTATATTATCTTCTTTTTAACTGAAAGTCCAGCTTTGTAATAAAGTACAGTCTCTGAAAGTACAATACTCATGTTTTGTTTCTGCCATTCATTTGTTCCCACTCATGCAAACAGACATTAAGCGAAGGAAATAATACATGATTTATTCTAAAGTCTCTTTCTCATTTGATTACCCCTATTGTTATGCTTTATGCAAACAAATGAAACTATTGCATTAAACTACTGATTGAAATCTTCAGAAAAAAAGCAGGCTGTTGAATTCTAATATAAAAGCTACTTGAAAGTATTCTCATTTACCTATATATTTTTACTCTTGTTTTAAAACCTATATGCTATATTTCTTGGTTGAGTATTTCAATGATAACTACACACAAATACCTCTTTAAGAATTATTGTTCTGGGCCACCACACAAATACCTCTTTAAGAATTATTGTTCTGGGCCCTCCCTGGTGGCGCAGTGGGTTAAAGCAGAGCACTGAGAAGCCTAAGCCACTTCCGCATGAGTTCGATTCCTGCCTGCCCCGGAGGTGACCACATGGCATGGCAGACCTCTCCTGACCCGCCCGCTGCTTCCCTCAGCACTGTACCTCGTCGATCTGCCTGTTCTGCTCCCCACTCTGTCCCTGGTGAATCCTCTCACCCTCCACATCTCTGGCCTGTACCCCAATTCTGTATGAATAAATAAATCTTTAAAAAAAAAAGGATTAGGGCCCTCCCTGGTGGCGCAGCGGGTTAAAGCACAGCACTGAGAATCTAAAGCCACTTCCGCATGAGTTCGATTCCCGCCTGCCCCGGAGGTGACCACATGGTGTGGCAGACCTCTCCTGACCCGCCCGCTGCTCCCCTCAGCAGTGTGCTTCGTCGATCTGCCTGTTCTGTTCCCCTCTCTGTCTCTGGTGAAGCCTCTCACCGCCCCTGAGCCTCTGGCCTGTACCCCAGTTCTGTATGCAGAAATAAATAAATCTTTAAAAAAAAAAGAATTATTGTTCTGAATGTAAAATGCTCTTATTTTATTAGAAAAAAATCTATGTTAAATCAATTAGAGGCTGCAAAAGACCTAATTTCGCTGACTTCTGATTAAACTTGAAGGAAAGCAAAATAAATCGGGCAGTGAGCAAAAGTAATATCTGTTTATAATGGAGGGAAGTTATTTTCTTTTCAATAGTCAGAAATACATGCTTGCCCCTTCCCACATTTCTCTCCTGGGGGACAATGGCCTCACCCACGCAGGCAGGTAGTGGAGGAGAAGTTTGTGTGCTGCGTTCAAACACCGCCTGGTGTGAGCTTTTAGCGTGTCAGTCAGTGAGTTAGAGGGAAAGGGTAAAGAGAAGCTAATCAGGATGAAATGAGATTAAAGGCTGTCTAATTTTACAGCAACTGTGATCCATCAGCCACTGTGAAAGTGACAGTGGAAATGAATGATGGAGACAGACAGGTGGGGCTGTACATTTCACTGATTTATCCTCAAATGCACTGGGCCTTATTTTATTGAGTGAACATGACCGCATTTATCATGACTGTCATCTAAACCCACTTCCCTCCATTTAAAAAGGTCACTTTACTCAGAAGAGGTAGGAGAGAGGCACTTTCAAATCAGATTTTAAATCTAATAACACGTGTTTATAAGGTTCTTTGTGAGAATTCTCAACTTTATGAAACAAAGTAGTTGTGCTGAAAGGAACGTGAGAAAAGGCAGAAAATTGGAAAAGAAACCTTTGTTATCTAAGGAAACATCTTCATTGAGTCTCTCAATTTAAAGCCATTTGTACCATTTTTGCCTTTCTCACATCAAACACCGCAGACTTGTATTTGAAAAATTAAGTCAAACATTTAAATTTAATATTTTTAATTAAGAAAGTTGGGAGCAGGTAACAGTGTTAAAAAAAAACTTGGAAAGGATATTAAGTCACAGTGTTTACTTGGTAGAATGACTAATCACTTCGCACTAAATAGATGTGAGCAATTGTTACAAGCTGAATGTCTGCACGATTCACTTATATACCTTTTAGTTGTTCTTTCATAATTTTAAAGTCATAAAAATCTCAGTTATATAGCCTTTTACCCCCTCTTTACTAGTGCAATAAAATGTCCTGGGATATTATGCACA